GACAATTTTTCTCACTAGAATCTATCTTACATATCTATAAGTCTACCATTGTCCAGGTTTTGAATATTGCTCCCACATATGGTCTGGTGCTTCTATGTATTTAGAGATTCTTAATAAAATTCAAAGAAGAATCTGCAATGTTAGTGGTCCAGACCTGGCATCTCAGCAACAGTCACTTTCCCACTGCCATAATGTAGCTTCCCCATGTCTTTCTATAAATACTTTCATGGTAATTGTTCAGATGAACTTTCCTCTATGGCACCTAGATTTATGAATTTAAGTGCAGTACTAGATTGGCAGCAAAGTCTATAGCTGAAATGGTTAAATGTAACTAAGTTCTACACTAACAGTTTCCTCTCTCATACTTCTAGCTTGTAGAACTCTTCCAGCTCCATGCTTTCCAGTCAACTTTGACCTTCAAAAATTTAAATGCTGATACATATCTTCTGTCTTCTTCATTCCTGTTTTATTGTTTTCTCTCCATAGAGTTTTCTCATATTCTCTCACACTCAGAAACCATCTTAGTGACTTTATTGCTTTGCTTTGGGTGAAGTGATTAAAAAGAAAAAAAAATTTCTAATGGTAAATAAGAAAAATATCATCATTCCCATGATTGGGTGAGGTCTTAGGGTTGCTGTGCAAATGAGAACCTGAGTATCTCCCCTCCATGTGCCACTATGTGAGTCTCTGTGAAGGACTTTCCAGTTTACTCAGTAACATTGTCAGCCTATTTTTTTTCCTGTTTGCTTCTTCTTTTGCCTTGTAAGGTAGTAGTAAAAAAATATTGGTGGTATTATACAGGGTGCCCAGTAAAAGAGTAAACAAATTATTCTTTGAGAAAATACACCAGTTCTAATTGGTCCATCTCAGTGGTCCTCTAAAAGCCCAGATCTGAATATTATGGATTACTGTATCTGGAGCATACTCCTAACTCACTTGCAAAACCATTGTTGTGACATTCTCAATATTGATTCAATGAAATGGAATTTATCTGAAGCTTGGAATTAAATTCCTCTTGATACTATCCACAAAGCTACACTGATTGTTCAGTTTATGCATAAATCATGATAGCTAAATAAATTTCTGAATTTACCACTTTTTTACTGGGCACAAGAGTACAAATATCCAAGATAGCAGTGAACAGGTTCAAATCCAGAAGAATGTAGTGTTTTTAAAATGTTAGTCAAATGAAAGAAATGTGACAAACAAAATAGTCATCTGAAAAGAAAAAAACCCAAAAGAAACAGTTTCGTATTTTAAATCTTTGCAGAGTTACTAAGTAAAATTCTTAAGTTTTAAAGTAAGGATATTGTGAATGTATTTCAAGTCAAAAAAATATATTTCCATTAAATCAAATGAAAATGGAATTTTGGAAATTAAATTTTTGGATGCCAAACTGAAAATTTTTTATTATTATTTAAAAAAAAAGTAAACAATACTTTATAACTCCATGCCTTTAAATTTTTTAATATAAATGTTATTTTTAGCTGGTCTCATTTTCAAAATTTTACATTTTTAAATCTTACAACAAATTTAGCAGTAAAGATTTTTTTTAAATCCTCAAGTTAAAAGTGAAAATAAATTTTTGAAAGTTATTTTGTCAATATTTTCACAAATGAGGAATGAAAGAAGTGTGTAATCATTGGTAGCAATTTTTTCATCAACAAAAGCTGTAGACAAATTTAAATCTCTTATGGTCATTAAAACAAAATTACATGAAAAATAAAAAGCTTCATTGTAAAAAATGTGAAAAAATATTGTAATTATGGAATGAACAGTATTCCTATATGTTGTAAGAAGTTAAATATTCTCATCCATAGATATAGTTATTTTAATCATTTTCTTTAATCATTGTGTACCTGTGTGTGCATGAGATGAGAGTTCTGAAAAGTTATCAGCTCAACTGACTTTCCTAAATCTGACCAAATATCAGAATTTTTCTTTATGAATTCCTTCTTTGTCAAAGTAAGAATTCTTCAGCATCTACTCTTTTGTGTATATATATGTGTATGCAACATGTATATAGATGGCTTCAAAATTATTTATCAACTCATATATATATATATATATATATATATATATATATAGAGTAGAGATATTTTCTATGACAATTTCTCAGCTATTCAGGCTGGTAAATGTTGTTAATAATGTTTATTATAAACAGAGCATTTACTTAAATATTTGTATCTATAAAAAAGAATGTATAAACATAAAAATGTCTTAAAATAATTGTCAGACATTGTCCATTTCATAATGTGTGACGTCATTTGTTTACATTTGGATACGCATCGAGCAGATAGGAATGTACGCGAGAAAATCATGGAAAATTGTAGTTTAAAAACAGTAAAATCGACCTTGCTAACCGAAATGCTTCTCTGTGACTGTAAAAGCACATCAGGCTATATGATGGTTCCATATAGGATACAGGTTCGATTCCTGTCGGAGGAAGCATATATATATATATATATATATATATATATATATATAAATATCTCCACATAATATCAGAACAAATAGAGTAAAATGCCAATGTTCATACATTTTATTTAAAAGGAGGGCTCAATACAAAGGATTTATTTTAGGATATTGAAACATGTAAAAATCACTACACAATTGTCTCTCCTCAGCCGATTGTAATTTACAATCACCTGAGGAGATGCATTGGTATGTGTTGAAACACAACTGCAATTGTGCACCAATTTTTACATGTTGTTTTAATATCCTATTATATATATATATATATGATATATATAGATATGATAGATAAGAAACATAATCTAACATGTTCTGCTTTTATTAAAGCTTCCTCAGAGAATGAAATATGGAGGAGAAATAGGAAGAAAATTTTGTTATTTTTAATTTTTGTGTGGTTTGCTTTCCATTTGTTTTGCAGACCTCACATGCATCTGTCTTTTTAAGCAGCGTTCACATGAATTATACACAGAAAAATATGTTAGATCTATAAATGTTTCCTATTTTTTCCTTACCCTGTCATTTTTTTGGACTACACAATCGATACAGATATACACACACTATATATATATATATATATATATATATATATACACACACACACACACTGCTTGTGTAACTGTCAAGAGTGCAGACACTCTGACCCCAGACAACATGCAGATCCATGTATAAATAATTTTTTCATTTTTTATGGGTACTATGCTAAATTTAATCCATCTCTAAGATTAAATTTTAATTATAAAATTCAATTTAAGAAAATATTTGTTCATGAAACAGTGTGCATTTTATATACATGTCTCTCTTTTAAGATATACTTATTATTTTTTAATAGCATCTTTGCTCAAATAAAATTCATAATGAAAAATAATTAAATAAAGAGGCATTACAGACAAATTTTCATATGAAAAACAAAATGTCAATTATTAGATGATGAGGTATATACATGTACATATACACAACCATTTTCACATTTGTAGTGATATACATCTATGCATAGGTCACAACAAATGTGCAGATTACATGCATGAATATATATCTTTTCTGTGCACATTATATAAGTATATATATATATATATATATATATATATATATATATATTTTTTAACAGAAGATATTCAGTACACATTTGCAAGTGGGCTGTATTTTCTTGACTTTAAATTTTATTTTTCAGAAGTTTTTATACTAATGTTTCACTTTTGTTTCTTCAGAAGTATAAAATTCAATGCTGAACACAATTTTTATATTTATTCAACTCTTTATTTCACAATTATGTTTTGCTTTCAAAAGCTCATCAGAATTGTAAAATAGAGTTGTGAATATATATATATATATATATATATATATATATATATATATAACTTCAAACATTATTTTTAGTGGATACCCTTATTTGAGTAGACACCTCGTTTATTTTTTTTTTTTTAATTCTTTCATAGCCTGCATACTCAAAGCTAAAAGAAAATGTGCCTTATGGTTTATTGCGTATGCAAACTGGTTGATGAAATAAATACTGTTTAAAAAAAAAATAAACGGAGCTTCTAAAAATAACTTTTGAAGTAAAAAAAAAAAATATGTCAGGTGAAAAAATAAAATCCAATATATATATATATATATATATATATATATATAACACAGACATACACACACAGAGTGGCCCATAAATGGCTTTACCATTTAAGAACTGAATAAAATATTTTTTTAATGTTTTTAAATATTGTTCCACATTTTAAAAGCTGTGAAGGTAGCGTAATGGATAGCAGTCCAGAACAAGTCATAAGGAAACCAAGTTCAAATTCCAGTTGAGTTTCATTACATTCACTTTAGTGCAAATAACTTTCAGAAGAGTATAAATCCATCCCTCCCTAGCTAGAAGGGCAGACTGGGTTCTTTAGTCCTTCAGTTGGCAACCAGTCTAAGAGAAGGAACTCTGAATTCATAACAGTATGTAGTTCTGGCATAGCTCGTACTATGGAGAGATCAACAAGATCGTGAAGCTGACAATGACTCAATAATTTCAACTGAATTGATGTGTTATTATTGGCTTATATAATTTTTAAAGTTTATTCCTTGGAAGAAATCTATAAGAGAAGAAAATCACAATAGAGCAATGTATAAAATTTGTAGAATTCTATTTGAAAAACCATCACGCCATTATTCTAATGCATACAATATTTTTGTTGGGAAGTCAAAGAAAAAAAATGGAGGTCATTTATATGACACCACTCTCCTTAACCAGTTAAAATCATTTCCATTTTATGTATTCTATGTAAAGCTGTAAATAAAAAAAAACAAAATACTTATTCAATTCTTAAATAATAAAGCATCTAATAGGCCACCACACACATGTATGTATGTATGTGTGTTTATGTGCATAATTTTTTTATCGGCACATATAGTTATGTTTTCATACATGTTTACAGCCATGTATATGCACAATGCAAAGTTGGTATCATTTTAGGATGAGAAAACAACTTTTCACAATGAATAGAATATACTTTTTAATGTATTTAACATGGTTTTGTTTTCTTTCATCTATGAGAAACTTTCTTGTGTTTCTCAATGTAATTCTTTGGAAACAACACCTGGGCTATATTTTTCAGGAAGCCCTGGTTGTAAGGTCTGGTGTTTAAAGTCTTTCTCTTATTCGGCTTCTTGGATTGTGTCGCTTCTGTGTTCTCTTTCCTGCAGCATCTTTCGCTATTCTTTATTGATCCTATTTTGTAGCGTTCATTGCTTGTCTGGTTTGTAAACATAAGGTAGAGATGGTAAACTGTGAAACCGGCCATTAAAAGAGAGAGTACTGAGAGAGAAGCCATGAGGAATATAATGCGAGGGAACTGCATGAAAAGATGCTACAAAAAGAAAAAAAAAAGAAAAGTTTAGAATTATTTTGAAAACTGGAAGAAAAAGTTTATTATATATAGTCTGTCTCGAACAGCATTTTTCAAACTTTTTTTTACTGCAATCCACAGCAAAAAATACATTTTAAATTACAACCCATTATACTTCCATGTAATAAATCAAAGACAAACTGACCCATTATACTTCCATGAAATAAATCAAAGACAAACTGTTCACTAGGCTCAATTATTTAGCACAGTTTAAAAAACCCTAGTCCTTGAACATATCCAGTCATTATGAATATTTGGAAATCTGACTGCAAGGCCTTGATGGAATTTGCCAACCAATCATAAAAGATCTTACTGTACATTCATGAACAGACACACTTTCTCAGGGGATTTCACAGTCAGGAATGAGATGTCATTGAGTGAGATTGTGTGTGTTATGTAACTTCTGGCTTTTCCTAAAGCTAAAAATCAATATTGAAATGGGATACACAGGATTAAGGCAGTTGATGATCCCTAAAATGGACTTTGCAGTTCATTTTGAAAAGTGGAAGGTATTCTGGGATTCACGGGGAGTATTTTGAAAAGAAATAAGGTACCTAAGAAGCCTAGGTGGGCTATTTTTGGGGGTCATATTAGATGATTGGATCATTTCTGGACATCATTGAGTAAGCAGTAGGATTTCTGACATTTCCTAAAGCTAAAATCAATATTGAAATGGCATGGACAGGATTAAAGAAAATACAGGATTAAGGCAGATGAAGGAGAGCTTAAGAAAGGACATTGCAGCCAGTTTTGAAAAGTGGAAGGAGTTCTGGAATAAAATTTGGAGATCTCAATTGGTGTACCTTAAAAGAACTAAAAGTAAGCTATTTTTTTTAACATGGTTAGATCAGACCTGGTATGCTGGTATTTTTCAGGCTAATTTTTTTCGTATTTGTTGTGTTTACTAAAAATTACCGTAATATTAGAATACAGTATCAATTCTTACCTTATACAACTAAAAAAAAATTCAATGTTGAGATATACATATAAACAAAAAATAAACTTGTGACTGTCAGGTTAAAAATAAACTGCCATTAATCTCATAGTAGTTGTATAGGGTTGACCCAAAAGCTTAATACTTTATTAAGTAAAAATTGACTTCATAAACCAAACTTCTTGGCCAATACCTTATCATTATGGTGTATGCCAGCTTAGTGTTTGTTTAACTATATAATGTAGATATTTGAACATTAATCTTTATCAAGTCATAAAAACAAAGTAATTTCTGAATTTTTAGTAAATTCAACAGAAATCCTTAATATTTTGTGATAAGAAGTTGGATGTGCGTTGTGGTGTAATGGATGTCGGCTCAGGAGAAATCAAGGGGCAGAGTTCAAATTCCAGTTCAGTTTGTTATATTCACTTACATGTAAATACTCTTGGAAAATGTATGAATCCATTTCTACCCCCAGCTATGTGCTGAATAGCAGGACAGACTGGGTTCTATAGCCTTGGTTGGCAACCGACTGCAGGAAAATATTCAAACACTCTCTTCCAACATGCCTTGAGCCAGCATGGAAGAGTAGGCTCAAAATTAACATGAGAATAATATCTTATATTGATGCACTGTCTGTGACAAGTGAAGTAAGCATTTTTGAAAAAAAAATACATTTTTTTTTTTAAATTATGTCTCTTTCAAGAAATTGAACTTTCATATATTTGAAAATTACATTTTTATTTTATGCTTTATCTCCGACCATTTTGTTTGGCTTCATTTTAATGTGGAATTGCCTTTGATTGAACAAGGCAATTTCTGAATGGCAGTCTATGGCACAGCTGCTTTACCTGAAAGTAGATGGCTGAAATTGAGTATTTTTGTTGCCACAAATTTTCTCATTGCCTGTTTGACTCTATTTAGTTTAGTTTTTTCTATATTGTACAGATGCTTGCACTCTGCAAACCCTCTATCAAGCACAGCACTCAAACAATTGCTTCTTCCCAAGCGTCCACTCTACTCTCAGTGGATTTCAGGTCGCATTTACAGATGCAGTAGTTGGTGTCCTACAGACTGAAACCCTGTAGTGTGCTGCCCATACAGAATGTTTTTTGGGTTTGTTTTTCCTGGCCCAGTCCAAAACATTCTAGTTTGGTACTTGGTCCCACCAGGAAATACCCAGGATCTGGACCCAAGAAATGCATATAGAAGCTGTTAAGGAAATACTTTTGACACATTTGTCCAGCTGTCACCGTTTTAGAGAATGATTCCGAGTACACAAGCTTTGTACACCTTAACCTTGGTGACTTTTGTGAGCTTGTTGTTTTCTCACCTTCTCTTGGACAGGTTGGCTATTTATGGTTTAAATGATACTTTAATTATCATAAACTTAAAATCAATGACATATTTTGTGGCCCTTAAGCAAAGAAAGAAAAGAAACAACCAATCAATAAGAAGCTTTTTGAGTATTTGGGTGCTTTTGGTTGGTTGATTTTGCTTAGCAGCATATGGGTTATTTAATACCGAAATCTAAATATTTTCAACATAATTCTATACCTTCAACTACAGTATTGTTGGTCATTTTACTATAAATACATATTGTTATAATTTCATTGTGTTTTGTTTTTGTTTGGGGGTTCACTATTTGCACATAGCTGGGACCATAACAGGACAGATTGGACCTGAGTAACAACAACAAAGAGATGGTTCCACATTCTTCAAAACCTCCAATCTCCCAATCAGAGCCCTTGCTGCCAGATATAGTTTATCATCATATCCAGGGTTATTGGGCGCATTTGCAACAAAACAATTTGTAACACTTTGAAACCATTGGTAGTTATATATTTCTTGGTTGCAAATTTCAAATTTTGGCAAACATTAAAGACTCCAAAATATTCATAATGTTGCTGAGTATTTTATTCTAAGAGGGAGTGGTGTCCATGTATTTAATTGTGTGACAGAGAAAGTAATGGCCAAGATAAGCGGTATAGGACACAAAGCATGGAAGATTTTTTTCATGCCTTTTTATATGTACTGTAAGTAATAAAAGTGGATGTGCCTTTTATTGTGACAGTTACTGACATGAAAAACAGGAAACTGAATTCAAATTCCAATTGAAGCAGTCCATGTTCAATTACTGCCCTTAAGAAAGACATAAGTTGACTTCTTCCTGAACATTACACCATCACCAGATATCTCTACAAAAATGTCTCATCACTGGCATGCCACAATGATTGACTGATTGAGATAGTGTGAGTGAGCAGTAGAATAACACATAACTACTTTACCTTCTCAAATAGTGGGAGTAAAACAAAACAAAAAAAAAAAATTACTGACATTTTCAACCTTGACAAAGACAATCATTATTAAGAAATCAAAATTGGTAACCACAATAAAATACAGATTTGTTTGACTAAGTTACTAACTGACTTCATATATATATATATATATATATATATATATATATATACACACACACCCACCAACATAAATGCTGCATTTTCAGATGCACAATATCAAATGACAGAAACTATATATATATATATATATATATGAATATCACTAAGTCTGGAGCCTAATCATAAACAAAATCAACTATTTTCCATAAATATTTTTGACCTTAATTTAATATGCTTAATTCAATGGTGAATACTGATCACATAGATTCATAGATCAAATATTATACAGTGAAAATTTAAGATTAAAACTCAGTTTATAAGCTACAGATCTAATAATCAATACTTGCATATTTTGTTTTATTTAACTTCAGTTGGCCCCATCAATAAAACGTTCATGTTCAAGATTTTTATTAAATTACTTTTACAAAATATGTTTCAAAGGAGTAAAATATAAGAACAACAAACAATAGATATTTTTTTTAAAATAATAACAACTACTGAAATCACCGGCTTACAAACATTTCTCTTAATAATAATTTAAAAATAATTCAGCAGACATTGTTATTTTATTTATGGTAACTGGATTTTTGTTGATTGCTTTACTCAGTTTCCGTCATTTGATATTGTGCATCTAAAAATGGCGAATATATCACAGCCACCATCACTTCTAAGCCTCTTGTTGGGGATCAAAGTGTAGTATCTGCCATTGGGTGGATAAACTACATTTCATCTCTCAGTTGTGTCTCCATCTTTGGACAGAGAGCAACTCAGTTGTGTGTCTATGGACAGAGCACAACTGAAAATATTATTGAGAGGTGCCCAGTCTTGGACTAAAAGTGGGGGGTGTCAGGAGTAATATCGATGCCAGCGTAATCAACAGTTGTGGAGATTGGGCTATCTGGCTTGCATGCCCATGCTCAGGCTCCCTACATTAAAATCACCTTGTGTCATATCCTGCAAATGTGGGGTGGAAAGAAAATGCAATTGCTTCTCAGTGTTTTGGCTAAGATCAAACTGTAGTATCTGTTCATATCAGCTTAATCTGATTCTCTCTCTCTCTCGGTCTACACTTTCATCTTCCCTTCTTTCATTTTCTCACTGAAACTAATTAGTGTCTTTTTCCCTCTTTCCACAAGTTATTGGCAGGTGTAACTGTTGTATGAACTAACAAAGAGAGGAACAAGCATATTTATAATGGGATAATAATTATAATAATAATGATAGTATTTTTGAAAATACTGTGCATCTGAAAAATGGCACTTTTATTGCAGTCAGCTTTGTTTCTCAGCCTTTTGGCTAAGATCAAAGTGTAGTATCAAAATGGAATAATCCATTATTTATGAGGTATTGGCAGGGTGTAGCAGTTGTGTGAACTAGTGAAGGGAGTGACAAGCACAATTATAATAGGATAATAACAATAATGATGGTATTTTGAAAATATCACAAAAAATTTTAATATCATCAATGCTTTCAATGTCTTGTCAGATTGTGAGTGGAAAATCTCAAATTAATTAAATGGTCATTGGTTATTTGTTTGCCAAATACAAATGCTGACATGATTAAATTATTTCCTTCAAGCCCCATCCAGGCACGGTGGTCATCTTTATAACACCATTATTAATTTTTTTTTTTTAGATTATTTTCTCTACAGTACATTCAATTTATTACTCTTATTTTATAAGTATAAAACATTTCTATCAGTATGACTATTAAAGATGGTAATTTTATTTAGTCAAAAAAAAAAAAAAAAAAAATAATAATAATAATATTACTGAAAAGTTTCATTTCATCTTTACACTTGGTATATTTATTTCTTGGATTGGAGTTGATAGGTGTTTGGAAAGTTGTTTCTCCTTGTCACTAAATGGGCATGAACTAGAAAAGATTCTCGGCAATCCACTTTTAAAAGTTTTTCTATCAAATATGGCGTAAATATTGATTTATGACCATTTCAAATAAACAGTGGTTTTTATAACAGTCTTCAGTTTATGAGAATAACTGGAAAAAAAAATCTATAAAACTTACCTGGACCAAAGCAGACAATGTAACAGGAGTCATTTTGCCATTGGCTTGCATAATCAAGGCATCTACCATTCCTGAATATTGAGCAATACTGACAATTGAACGAAGGGCCATATAAAAGCCATTCACACACATCATGATGAGGGTGATGAGAAATGCAAGGAAATAATGGTTGTTCAGGGCACCAATGCAGTTGTTTGTCCAGACGCAATGGTGGTCAAACCGATGAACACATCTATTGCAAACACCTACAATACACAAGAAATATTGTTACTATTATACAAGGATTTTTTTTCAGACCAATTTCTTTATCTTTGTTGTCTTTATCACAACTTTTTAACCATTGTATTCTTCACTTGTTTTTCTTGCCCATAGTTTTGAGATGGGAAGTTGTCATTATTTACATTATTTATACATGAACAGCAATAAGGACAGGGAAGCCTTGGTGAATGCAGTCAAGTGAGCAGCAGCATGCAGATAAGGTTTAAGGCTCCAAGTTCTACACTCAGGATTGTCCCATGGGACAGTAGCATAGTGGATTAAAATGTTGGTTCATGAAGTTAGTGACAAAGTAATTGTGAATTCAGTCGTTGGGCTGGCTAGTGCAGACTGACTCAGTGGAAACAGGGCAAGCAATAACAGACCAGTACCAAAGAAGAACAAGACTTGATATCCCTAGACATGATAGCGAAACATAGATTAAATAAAGGGTTCAGTTTGAAATTCCCTGAAGGTTACCTTGGCTAGAAAGGACAATAGATGAAATGTTGTCATAATAACAAAAAAGATGAGGACACTAGTCCAAATGTAAATAATGATACTGTTGCTATTATATAGCAAACCAGTTTCCTTGTCTTTGAATAAGGAATTAAAAAATGCAACAATTAAATGAAAAGCAAAATCCACAATAAAACATTTTTGATGTTTACAATGGATTGGATTGTCTAACATGAATATTATTTGATCACCATATAGTATAAGAGAGATATTTACATATCAAAAGTTAAATTCTTTTCTTTTTTTGGTACATATTCAGATTAAAGAAAATTATTAACTGAAATACATCAAACTGCAGGTTTTGCACATCCATTTTCCAACTAAGCTGAAAAATTGTATGTTCATTTTTCTGTAAATGCTATATTACATTTTATCTACAGTTTTCCAAAAAAAATCAAGATGGTTTTTATTAGTGTTTTGTCTATAAACCAATTATTTAAAAAATTAGTACTGTATCTGATGACATAAAACTTGTAATAAATTTGTAATAAGTGCATAAAAAGAAACTTGTTTTGAATCAAGCCAAAATGGGAACATGGATAAAGTTCCAATAATGTTTGATATGTCATCCAACATTTCTTAAAACTAGAAAAACCTGTGAAAATTTCTGTTTTACTCACAGTTGAAATTTTTGATGAATCTTAAGTTAATGATTAAATAACCTCATGGTGAGTTCTACAACAATAAAATATCTAGAAATTCCTTTATCACACCATAAAATATTTGAGTTTAACAACTTGAACAAAATATTACAATTACAAAACATCATAATATGAATGTTATTGCTGTTAAACCCACTTTAAACTGACCTTGTATCACATTCAGTAGTGACTTGAACATACTGAAAAATACCCATAAATATGAATGCTGGTTTTAAGAAGTAAGGTGTTACAAATGAAAAGATTTGAAATTGACAACTTTTCACCATTTTCCTGAAACAGCAGTTAAACACTTCTATCTTTCTTTCATTTTTTTCATTGAAACTAAGTAGTATCTTTTCCCCTCTTTTCACACAATCAAAGTGGAACAATCCATTATTTATGATGTATTGGCAGCAGACATTAAACACTTCTATCTTCTTTTCTTTCATTTTCTCACCAAAATCAAATCATGTCTTTTCCCAACTCTTTCATGCAATCAAAATGGAATACTCCATTATTATCAGATATTGGAAGGGCAAAACAAGTCATGTGAACTAACAAATGGAGGGACAGGCACACTTACAATAGGATATTAAAATATTTCCTGCTGAAATTGGGGGGGGGAGTCTTATATGCCCTCAAATATGTGTTAGACAGATTCAAAGTCTTTACCTTCACAGGATGCATTATTTTTTTTATTTTTTTAAATGTACCAAAAACAAAAAAAATCTGCCCTGCACCACAGCCATATTACAGATAGGAAGTCACTGAGTGCTGTACTGGTAGGCTGGGGCGTCTGATGAATCTAAGTCAGCTAGTCCTAAAAATTGTTACTAGTAATAAAAACAAGCCAATTTATTGCAGTAAATTGTATTACTAATAATAAAATATTGATAACCAGCCAAACCATAAGTCTATTGGCACAAACTTACATCATCTTGCTTACGGTATATCGGCAGGTAAGCAGGAAGCTCACATCATCTCACCTTACCTCCTAACCTAACATACATAATCCACATGAACACAGTATGGCATTAATGATTGTGTTACCTTTAAGAATGGGCACGTTTATACCTTATACCTTTACATGGGCATGTGGCCAAGAGGTTAGAATGTTCACTTTCTGATCATGAAACCCTGGTTCAAATCTCCCCATGGTTGATTTGTCAGGAAGGAGACATCATGATGTTATTTTATTGGTACTCTTGGGGACTGTTGATAACGGCGCTAGCACAAAGTCATAAGTCATCATGATTGAGGGTTTTAGCATGCTGGCCTTGTTCCGATTGTTGATCATGCTAGATAGCATGCTCTCTCTCTCTCCGAGAAACTGTAACTAAGGCCTGCTCAGCACAGTTGCAATATAAACCACAGGTGGGCACTGTGAGTGTTGAACAAACACAAATGAGCCTGAGCAAGTGTCTGCAATAGGGACTGGCTAGCTGCCCAAGTAGACAGGTATCCTCAAATATGAGTGGCCAGCTATTATATATATATATATATATATATATATACACCTTTAAGAAACATTTGTTTATTTCCATATCTAGAACAAAAAATGGTGCCAGAAATGTGAAAGCAATGTTAACAAACTTCAGCCACCTTTCAGCCATTTACAGTGATAGGATGACAACAGCAGCAGCAGCATTCCCAGGTTCAAATTATCATTATTCATTCACATTTATTGTCCTTTACTGATTACTTTATAACAGTTTTCTTTGTGTATATGTACTAGTATCAAAGCGATCCCTGGTCCATGACTGGGGGTGGACATGCGGAGAACTAAATTACTACTAAATAACAATTACTTAGCAATTATTTTTAGCAAGGAAGTTATTAGTCATGTCCAGTAACTATACATAATATTAGAAAGTGGCTTACAATTGACTTATTTCCATAAATGCAAATGTAAAAAGAAAGAACAAAAATAACCTCCTCTGCCATAAAATAACTAAATGTACAAAAATCACTTTATTCCCCCAATAAATTAGAGACATATTTAAATGATATTGAAAAAATAAGGAGTTAATTTGTTTATACCAATTGATTACAGAAAATATAATTGTATAATACAATCAGAAAGCAATTTCAACATTTTACAAAATCCTGTATCAACAAAGTCTAAAAATACTTTACAAAAAAATGTAAATTTCAGAGAAACAATAATTTTGATAATCTTTATAAAAATTATTGTGATTTTTGTTAAATGTACAATTTGTTTCACAGAAGATGAAGAAAATACTTATTTCGTTATGATGTAATAATAGATATTACAAGTATACATAGTTTTAATAACTAAAATCAACTTATATTAACAAGAACACAAAATTAATTAACAGGATAATTTGAAGAGTTAACCAATTAAATATATCTAAAAAGAGGGAAAATTGAAAATAAAAATATCTGGTAAATATTTCTCTGAATGGGTAAGTATATTTTTTAATACAGCTTCATGAACATATTCTTACTACTTGAAAAAATATGAATTTTTTTAATACCAAAAAATTAAAGAATTGTATCAACATTTTTATCTAATAAATAAAATTTTAATTTCAGAACTTTTAGTTTCGGTTCTTGAGTTGTTTTAAGTGAATCAAACAATAATTTTTGGAAAATATATTTGACAATATGATTCCATGTTCTCTTTTCATATTGAAATGATATATATCAGAAACTAACAAAGATTTTTGTCAAAGAATTTCTGCAAGTCTTCAATTTAACAACATTATAAAATGGGAAAAAAAAACACTGAAATGTGGTATCCAGTGGAATTTTTAAATTACCACAATCTATTTCTTGCAAAAAATACCCATATTCTTCAAAATAAAAACTACTATTATTAAATATTTCCTCTTCTGTGAGACAATATTTTCTTGTAACATAGCCTGCTATATACAAAAGTGATATTTCAATATCTTGAGGGAACCTAGTTCCAAGGTAAGTTATCAAATTATTCCATTTCATCCAGCAAATGTCCACATTTAAGCAATTATGGCTGGAATCAAAGTTGATATTTGTTGACATCAACATTTAATTTAAGAATTTCAATAATTAAATTTTTCAATAACATTTTTTAACTGTTATAAAATATACACCTCCAGAACATTGTTTTAATTTTTCAAATTCATTTTCTAAATAGTCTGTAGTAAATTCACCAAGTATAACAAAATTGAACACACTGCTTAGCAAATATCTACAAACATCAATTAAGCCATTGCTTGTATGTTCGATTGCTAAACTAGTATCTCTTGTTAATGATTTCATCATTTTTCCTTGATTTCCTCCTATTCTTTTTGTCATTTTTCCAGAATTAGAAAGAAATAACAGATGTTCATATAAATCTGATAGAACCTTTTTCAGTTGACCATTTTTCACTGACAATTTTTCAATGAAATGAGCTGTTTCTGCAGTATCCTCGCCATTTAATAACAGGTGCAATTTAACAGCAGCTACAGTTTGATCACAAAAACTTTTAAATAACGGCAAACATTTTAGTAAGTATAAGCCATTTTTAGTTATCCAAGACTTATCAAAACTGTTAAATTTTATGAAAAAAATACTGATACATCCTGTTGCTGTTACATACAATTACTTGACCATTTAATTGCTTGATTACATCAATATTATATAAAACATTTTTTGTATAAAAAGTTGCCTCTAATTTTGCAACTGGGATCATTTTAAGTAAAATTTTTGGTCCACCATTTAAACATTTTATCATGATGCCCAATATTGTTTTTGATAATCCTTCAGAATTTTCAGCCAAACAAAATAAATTTACTTCTTAATATTGTAGAGCAACTTTGACATATACTTCATCAATTAAAAGA